GTTGTTGGAACCATTCTAATGGATAAAGTTGGAAACTTTATCCATTATGGAGATATTAGGAACCATAAAAATGTTATATTGGTCCTTCTATCCCTTCCATGCAAGAGTTGTGATGTCTTGATGGATTAATAAGTTAGGGTTTTAGCTTTTGGACCTTCCCTAGCCATGGAAAGTCATAAATATGGAAACTTTATGACTTAAGACAATGTGTTGAGGCTAGATTTGAGTTTGGGTGAAAATTCCTTAAGGGAGTAAGTGCTTAATGAAGGAGTAGGATCAGGCTGCGTACGCTGGGTGAACGTTAAGTACGCTGCGCGTACTCAACTGCCTTAGACTTTGACTTTTGTTGACTTCCGTTGACCGTTGACTTTTTGACCAAGTTTGACCTTGGGTCAAACTTGAGGATTTTGGGCTATTGATTAAGATGTTATCTGGTTCTGGTGTTAATGGATTCGTGGGAGCAAGCAGTGTAGAAGGGAGCATATCATAATTTTTCAAGGTTCTTCGAATCAGGTGAGTTTTCCTTATTGTACTCGTGGGTCGAAAGCACCAATGCCGACCCACTAGGTTATATATCTTGGTATATAGGATGTTACTATGTTGTAGTAATATGTTAGATTTATATCCTGGTATTTAGGATGTTGTTATGCGGTAGTGATCTGTAGATCTTCCTGTTTATTTGTTTACTGGCTATATGTTTATCTGTTGCATATGTAAACATAGTGTGGTTGGGTTGAGACTGTGCCGCTTTGTGCTGTCATTGAACAAACCAGTATAGTAAGGTTGAGGCCATGTTCCAACAAACCTGAATTGTTGGGTTGAGGCCACGTGCCAACAAACCCGATATGGTTGGGTTGAGACTGGAGGTCAACAAACCCGGTATGATAAGGTTGAGGCTATGTGCCAACAAACCTGGATTGTTGGGTTGAGGCCACGTGCCAACAAACCCTAGAAGGTTGGGTTGAGGTAAAGGACCAACAAATGTTGTATGCATGTTTGTTGTATATGTTATCTATTTGTGTGACGGTACTTAGGTGGAACTCACTAAGCTTCGTGCTTATAAAAACCTTCAGATGTATATGTTATCTGTTGTTTGTTATGGTTTTACATACTTCAGATGATCGGGAAAAGCAAAGGTGTGATCGTGCATATCCTTCGGATTTTATGTTATTGGATTCTTGGATACTCTGTTTTACGAACTATACTTTTGAAACAATGTTTTTGTAAACAATTATTCACTTAGGGTTGTTTTGGAAAAATGAAAATTTTACTCTGATTTTTGGGATGTTACAATATTATTTAATTACTAATTAATCAGAAATTAATTGGAATTAATTTTGGGATTAATTGGATTAATTAATAGTATATGGACTAAAGGTGTCAATGTTTAAAAGTTAAGCATTGAAGGATTCCAGAGCCTTCCCACATGAAGGGGACGGTTTTGGAGGTTCCTAGGGCTTATTGGAAGCCTTAGGGAGAAAAAAAGGGATAAATGTTATCTAAGGAAACCTGGCTTATCCTAGACTCCTTACTCACCTAGAAAAACCCCTTATGGGGTTCATAATTTCGGCCTCTTTTTCTCAAGAAAAGAAAGCCGAAAATCACCCCCCCCCCTCATCTCTCATCTCAAGTCTTCTATTGCTATGGGTTGGGTACAAACCATTAGAGGCACGAGACTTCTAGTGCTTGCTTTTTTAAGCTTGTTCAACAAGGAAGTGTTTGATTATTTACTACAATAGTCAAAATGTATGTAAACCCTAAAACCCTTTATGAATTTCGATTATAGTAGGGTACTCTTAGGGTTCTCGATGTTCAATTGTTTATTGTAATCAATAGAGAAAAGTTAGATCCAATAGGTTGCATGTGAATTTAGGGTTAAGTTTTTTCCGCCACATAATTTTTTTGTAACTTATAAAACCTATCAATAAGTCCCTCAAATAAATATACTTTTAGATCTGTTTTATTTTGTTCTTGCGTATAACCCAAAATGACATTGTTATTTGTAGTAATATTATCGACTTTGTTATGAATATGGGTACTATTCTCTAGAAGTTTTCAAGTGTATAAAACATGGTGTAACTCAATCCAATTTCATAACAGGCTCTTAACAATAAAGGGATTGTCCAATTCCATAACTAATTACCAAAATGCCCTTATGGCCAAATATTCCATAAATTAAACTAAAGATCATTAAGATCTTCATGTTTTTGCATTCAAATTATATTATTAGTATCAAATCCTATTTATGAGTATCATATATTCATCAAATGCTCACATACAAATGATTCCATTGTTTTCATCACAATTTCCCCAAAACCACCTAAAATCCATGTTTATGCAACATTCTACCATCATGGATGTGTTTAAGCATTACGATTGGATTCGTTATCATCAAACATCATTTGGGTCATTGAGTCCACTCCATAATAGCTTGTAGATACAAAATCCCCAAATTAAATTTTTAGGGTTTATGGAGATTTTTACTCAAAATATCAAATCCATCAATATGATGATTGGATTGAGATTTCAACCAACCATTCAAGGGAGGTTAGAAAACCAAACCCTAATCATCAGTTGAATCCAAAATCAACATTAGGGTTCACCCCTAATGACAAACTCAAAAAATAGAGTTAGAGGAGGAGAAGTTATACTTAGAAAGCCTTAGATTCCTTTTCTTTTGGCTTGGATGCACAATCTTTGCTTGCATAAAACCTTAGATGCACAAATGAAGAGAAATGACCATGAGAAGCTCCTTTTCCTTGCTATCCACCATTTGGTGGAAATGAGGGGAAATGCTGCATCTTATTTCCTAAATATTTTCATATTTAGTCCTTCAACTTTACTTGTTTTGGCTAAAACCCACAAAACCTCGATATTTGTGATTTTAACTTAAGTTTTGACATAATAAGTCCTTCCTCATAAATTTTATAAAATTGGCGGTCCATCTTCCATTAATCGGGTCAACCCTTTGGTCAACTGACTTTGTTAAGTTGACACTTTTGGCCATTTAACTTTAAAGTGTTGTTATTTCCACTTTTAACTTTCTAAACTTCATATCAGCTAATGATATGATTAACCCATAATGATTTAATTATATAAATCACCTTTAATTTATTTAGCCCATGTATTGTATTGTTATAAGCCCATTACGTCAAACACCTTGTATTGATGTAATTTGTATTTATACGTCTTTGGAATGAAATTCTCATTACAGGAAAATTATTGTAAATCCAATATCCACATTATCCTTGAATAGTTATAAGGGTCTTTGCTAACTAATTAAAAGTCACATAACTATATAATGCCAAAATAAAGATACTAATTATTATTGTCTATAATGTTCATTTTGCAAAACCAAGTTGCCATATTGGTCATCACTTCAATAGGATTGACAACATACGACCCATAACAATTGGTACCACAAAGCACAAAAAACTGACCCCCATGATAATTGGTACCACAAATCACAAAAAATGACCAAGATAACAAATGAGACATTATATCGAACAATTGGAATGCAAATCAAATGGTACCCAAAATACAAAAGCATCAATTATGTATTGCCAAATTCATAATTATACATAAACATAAATTAATAATTTTATGAACATAGATATACATGATTCTATTTGCAATATCTATCGGTACAAAATTTCCACATCAATAGTTAAACCGTTGGTGAGAATTCAATAAAAAAAACTCGAATGTGTTGATGAATTCAAGAAAAAGAAACATATTTCGGTTGCTTATTTACTTCATTGAGAATTGATTATTCAAGAGTGTGATTGTTGTAGTGTTTCGTACCATTTATGATTAGATGATATGTGAAGGACAATGAATACACTTGACGCTTCGATTGTGCTTCCAACTTCCTTAAGAACCGAGAAAATAAAGAATCACTTCAAATACTTGGTGCCCTAATTTATTTTCCCATTTCGATTATCTTCCTAAAATACAAAATACCTATAATAATTAACCTTTTTTAAAATATGAAAAAGGAGCCCTAAAGAATTTGGGAGACATGAGTCATTGTGTAACTTGCCCCTTATTGGGTTGACCCTGATTATCTTAAACCCCAAAGATCCCATACAAGGACCGGTATCAAATGTTGTAGAAGAATTTGTCTAACGTGGATACCATTAGAGGAGATGAAAATGGGTCCCTTTTATTTATGGATTAATCAAACCTACATCAAAAGATCTTTACCTTAGAGGTATAATCCTAAATGATCGTTAATTATTTGACTATTTAATTTTAAATGATCTGAAAACGGTTCAAGGTTTATGATTTTATTCCGATATTTTAATTTATATATATTTATTAGGTGTTGTTTGTTTTTTTGAAGCGAAAATGCCTGAAGTCTGTCAACCACCTCTGCAACCCTCTGTAGCAGAAGAGGTGGACCAAACGGCTGCAACATTTAATAAAAAATCTGTTTGTTTTTTAACGTCTACAGACTACTGCAGTAAGTTAAAGTAAGGCGTGCAGATGTTTGAAGCAGTTGGTCTACTATTGCGTCACACAACACATGCACAATAGTTTTTAAGTCAGAAGTCTTCTGAAAAACAAATAGCTGCGAAACGCCAAGTGCTGCGTGTGTGCTGCGTGGTGCAACAATAAGTGGTCTGAAATGGTTTTTTTAGAAAAAACAAACAACACCTTAGTCACGATAAACCTCACATAACACGGATACAAAAATTGATACAACATAAATTCTCAAATAAACCTAAATATATCGAGATTAATGAACCTAAAAACTAAAAATAAATACAATAAAAATGACTAATAATGGTAAAACAATACTAAGTAGAAAGATGATTGATCTACCTCTTATATTGCAGAAAAACCAAACAAAAATAAGATTAAAATCACATAGAAAACAAAACAAAGACGGACTCATGCATCGCATAGATATCAAAGGAGAGGAAAGCTAAAGATTGACAACGAGAGAGGTTTATAACAAGATGACCAAACATGAAGGGAGGTAACTGAACTTTTTCACTTGCCAGACCATGAAAGACCGAGTGTGCCTCCGGGTCTCAATAAAGGCCTAAGAAGACCGAGTGACATGAAACCATGGTTTATTTCCTAAAAGAACCATGAACACCGATTTCAAAAACCAAGATCCGAAGCAAGGTACTGCTCCCATTGATAACAATCTCACAACCCTTGATTCAAGATTTAATCAAACTCTCCGTAATGTACAAGGGTATGCTCGTGTACCCATATTCCAACTCTGTAAATCGGCATCGTTTCTGACTTATTTCAGCAAATCGTTAGGGTATTAACGCCGGTGTTGTTAAATTTCTCATACTTGAAACGAATGACTATAGTTCTTTGATCAGTTGTAGAAATTAGTAATTTATGATCTATGATCTGCTGCTTCAATTTTGAAATAGATGTTCGTACTTGATTTCATACCGGAGTGAGAATTTGCACGATTATTTATAGAATTCTTGGAATTAGGGTTTTCCTGGTTAATGTTTGTCTTCGCGATATGAATCTTGTTGTCTCTAATACTGAAAGAAAAAAAAAAGAACCAATTCTATGTTACTCTTGATCCTAGTTCGTTTACCTTGATGTGCAACTTAATTGGGATTTATTATTATCTAAAGTTGATTGTATGATTTTCTTGTACAATGTGTATTTAGGATTTCTTTCAACATAGAACAAGAAGATTAGCAACAACAAAAATGTACCTAGACAAGCCAAAATGGACCTAAACTAAACAAAATGACCACAAACCATTTTATAACATTTAGGGTTAAATGCAAGAAATAGCAAATTACTGTTGTCTATTTGTCTATTACATCATCCTACTTTCATTTTTTTTTCTATTACAACATTACACTTCAAAAATTCTACTCAATTATAGCATTGCCATTGAAATATAAGGCAATTTTCACTTCTATAATTGAGTAGATCTTTCAAAGTATAATGTCATAAATAACAAACAAAAATTTAAAGTGCAATGCCATAATTGAGTAGATCTTTCAGTTTTTTGGCTTATTATGAATAAATGAAAGCACATTGGTGTTTCTTGCATTTAGCCCTATATAAAAATTAATAATTTATGAAATATGATTCTTAATTTCTTGTTTTTATCTAAGGTTCATAAAGGGTCGCAGCTTTCCTGGTAAAATCTTGATAACAAGATCGGATCCTGCTGATTTTACAATTCTACCCTCTCCTCGTGTTGATAGCAGTCCCTCTGAGAATATTACAGGCTCAAGCAAACACATTGATGATACAAATGAGGTGAATTTGATAATAAATTCAATTTTAACTCATAATATTGTGGACAATAGAAATCATAATCCTTACATTTTATGGTTTATTTTTTTTGAACATTTCTTTTTGTAGGATCAAGTTCATAGAAGTAAACCAGATGCAAACGAGTTAAAATCAACAATATCAAATTCTGAGAATACATCTAAAGAGACTCCAAGGGTTACAATGAGCACAAGAGCCACAGACACTGCTAGGATAATGAAGTTCACAAAAGAGTTGGGGGGCGTAAATGTCATTTTAGGTATTTCACATATTGTAGAAAGTATTTTCTTCAAATTGTTACTTTTGAGGGGTCAAATATTCCAACAAAATTTGAGGGTTTTATTTTTTTGGGGATTCGAATCTTATAAAGATGAAGGAATGATTAGTGTTTTCATTGAAGAAGATGGAGGGCAAAATCGTCATTTTACACGGCCTTTTTTGTCCCTATCTGATATAAATCAATATAGCATAGACAACATTGATTCATTTAAATGCATGGGTAGTGATTTCCACTCATACATTACATTAACGAAATTCCCTTTTTCTTAGTTTTATTTTTTAATATATTACTTTAATTTTATAATCTGTTTGTTTATATTTGATTTTGTAGACAAATTGCGTGAATTAGCATGGAGTGGTGTGCCACATTATCTACGCCCTAAAGTTTGGAGGCTTCTTTTGGTAATCTTAAATTTCTCACTCATTATCTAATTAACTATTTAGAAAAATGTAAAAAAAAAAAAGATCATTGAGATAAACGTAAAATGGAGACACGATATAATACGATTCATATCATAATCTGTTAAGCTATATATGAGTGTTACTTTTTGACTTCATATAGAAAGTCAGGGAAATGAAGTCCACCTTTTTACGAATTTGCCCTTGTATTGTATTTTGTCAAATATTATTAAATTAAATTAAATTATGTTGTGATGAATTTAAAACAGGGATATGCACCCCCTAATTCAGATAGAAGGGAGGGAGTTGTAGGAAGAAAACGTGCAGAGTATTTTGATTGTGTTGCTCAATTTTATGATGTTTCAGATAATGAACGTACAGATGAAGAGATTAATATGCTTAGACAGGTATTCTAGTAAATCTCTTTATAACAAATACCAATCTACTTTCATTTATTTGTTCTTATTAGAATATTATACTTTAAAAAATCTACTCGATTATAGCTGTAAAATTTGCTATAATTAGATAGAACTAGTAAGTTACTACGAAAATTTAGGGAGCAAACCTGCATAAATATGAAAGTTCTGTGGCCAAAGTGTGAAACCAAAAAAGTGTAGGGACGAAAACAAAACATGGCAATATATTGTGGGGGGACGTGATGCGAATCTGCAAATTTTCTATTAGGTAGGGACTATTTTTTGTAAAAGAAAAATGCACAAGGACCATTTCTGTAAATTACGGGGATAATTTTTGTAATTTATTTTCTACATAGGGGCCATACCTGCCAACATACAAAAATGTTAAGCATATGGACTGGTTCTGTAAAGAAAACTTCAGAGACGTTTTCTGTAAATTATGAAATTGTAGCCAGGGACTAAATCTGCCAATATCCAAAACCTTTGTGCCAAAAAATCTGAAATGCAAAAGTGCTTAGGGACTAAATTTGGTAAAATGTTCAAAACTTTGTGGCAAAAATCTGAAATACAAAAGTGCTCAGGGACTAAATCTGCCAATATCCAAAACCTTCATGGCAAAAATCTGAAATGGGAAATTTACTATTCATTTCAAGTTTCAAATTAGACATAGTTAATAATAATAATAATAATTTTCGATTTACAATGTTGTAATAGGGACAAATGAAAGAAGAACGTTATAGTAATAAACAAAGTAATGAAAGTGTATTATTATTTATTGCACTTAGTGGGGACAAGAATTAATCCTTTAAGTCCTTACTTTTTTCTAAATTTGTTGTCATCTATTTTTTCCATGTGTCTTTATTTTCTCAAATATTTAATTAATCATTTATGTAGATTGCTGTTGATTGTCCTAGAACTGTGCCTGATGTTACTTTCTTCCAACAACCTGAAGTCCAAAAATCCTTGGAGAGGATACTCTACACATGGTTAGAATTTCTTTCTTATTATCATTTTAAAAAAAAAAACATAGTTATTTATTTCGCATTAATTTGTATCGACATTGTTAACAAAATGAAAATTTGTTTAATGCTAACTCTTTTTTACTTAATGGACTTAATCTTGTAAGCTTATATATGTGTGTTTTCTTTTTTGAAATATATATATTTTTAACATTATTTATTTATATGATTTCAGGGCAATTCGGCATCCAGCAAGTGGATATGTCCAGGGAATAAATGATCTTGCTACACCTTTTTTGGTAGTTTTTTTATCAGAACATTTAGAAGGAAGTGTTGATAATTGGAGAATTTCTGATTTAGATCAAGAAACAATCTCTAATATTGAAGCTGATTGTTATTGGTGTCTTTCAAAATTACTTGATGGCATGCAAGATCATTATACATTTGCTCAACCTGGAATCCAACGCCTTGTTTTTAAGCTCAAAGATTTGGTCACACGAATCGATGGTATGCACTTTAAAACATTCTTTTTTTATTAATAAATAATAAATAACAAGTTATTTTGTTTTGAGCTTTTAGAACCTATCGCAAGGCATATGGAAGCTCAAGGGCTTGATTTTCTACAATTTTCTTTCCGTTGGTTTAATTGTCTCTTGATACGAGAGGTATATATGTTACTTGTTATTATTATTATTATTATTTTTTTCTTTTTATACTTTGATGTCTTATGTTTTACAATGCAATGCCTTAATTAATATATAGATTCCTTTCCACCTTGTGAACCGTTTATGGGACACATATCTTGCTGAAGGTGATGCATTGCCCGACTTCCTTATCTATATATTTGCCAGTTTTCTTTTAACGGTGAGCATTTTTATATTTATTCTCTAATAATCATCTCATATTTCTAGTCTTACTTCCTATTTGGCTTTTGTACTGCGTTTGACATTATTCTAATCAGAATAATGTCACCAGTACGTTGCAACTTTTTGTCTCGTTTTTTGGACGAGACAAAAAGTTGCAGGTCTGTCCCATCAGACCTATCACAGCCCACTACATGAAAAACACAGTACATCAGTTCTGTCTAGTCATGTAGACATGTCATGGGCTGAAATTGATGTCAATAGGACAAAAATAGTAATTTTCATCTGACTTTTGGATGGGACAACAAAATACATGTCCCATCAACATGAATCTCACCACAGTACAAATTCTGTTTTGTAGAAAGTTTGTTCTGTCATGTCATGTCATGTTATATATGAATTTTATACTGCAGTGGTCAAAAGAGCTCCAAAAACTTGATTTCCAAGAGATGGTGATGTTTCTTCAACATCTACCAACAGAAAACTGGGGTCACCAAGAACTTGAGATGGTCCTTTCAAGAGCCTTCATGTGGCATACCATGTTCAATAGTTCTCCTAGCCATTTGGCCTCTTGAGAAAGATGTTTGTATACTTACGAGCTTATTCAGTTTTCTCGTTATATTTGTATAATGATTACTCAGTTATTCATATTTGTATAATTCAGTCTTGGATGTGGTTTCTTTTGTTGTATGTATAGAGGTTATGTTGTTAAGTTGTTTGTGTTCTAGAAACTTGTACAAGGGCTTTTGTTGAAATGACCAATTTGTGCATCTCATTTCAAAATTGTTGATACATTTGAATGGATAGAGTAATCAAATTCATACATCGTATTTTTGGATAATGTCTGTTTTAGGGAGTTTATTTAAAAAACTACATTTAAGCCCAACAACTAGGAAGCCGTTTTTTGCTGATGTGGCATAAGTTACTAGTGATGTGCGATCCACATGCAACATTTAAGGGCATATGATATTAATGACATAACATTTGCAAAATTAGTTCTTAGTTGTTTATAATGTTGAGTAAAGTTGTTATTATTTGATTATTCAAACGCTAATGAAGGTCGATTCATGTGAGTTGAGTAGCCATGTCATAAACAACAAGAAAAGGTCAAGGATGGCTGAATTGTAGCGACTATGCCTTCATGTATGTTTCTTGGTTGTTTGGGTTTTAGCTAAATAGAAAATGTAAAGATTAAAGCAGAGTCGGAGGCTTCAAGGTTAAGTGCCTCAAAGTTTGTAACAATGAGTTTGAAAGTTCAAGAAGGCGAAGAAAATACTACACGTTTTTCGCAGGAGAAACACACACAAGTCCAAGTTGTAAGGCAACTCGATTTTTTTTTTCCTATAAAATCATCCCCTACCATAACTTGGCCTTCTGTTTCTTTTAAACAAAGAGCTTCTTGAGATGATTCTTCCTTTTTTGCAATTTTCGAACTCATTGTCATGGGAATTAAGTCACTTAATTTTTGCATTCTCTATTCCAAGTCAATAATATGTAATTAAGATGCCATTTTCGGTCCTTTTACATATAAGCAGCTGAATTTGCCAAATACTAAAAAACAACTTATTACGTTTTGGTACTGATCAGTCGATTTTGCAGTGCGTTTATTACTGTAACACCCGTTCCTCAGGTATATTTTCTTATGATTTTTAAAGTTATAATTTTTGAAAAAGGGAAGTACGTAGGGTGTAGATAATGAAGTACGCAAGGCGTAATTCATTAATCTCATGCGAGGGTCTTACCCACTACGCAGGGCGTAACCTTAGTTATGCAATGCGTAGTGACACAGAGTACAAACCCTAAATTCGGGGTTTGAGCCCTATTTAAAGGACCTTAACCCCTTGATACCTTTCTTATGACTAGTCTCCATCCTCCAAAGCTGCCCTCTCGAAACCCCAACCATTTTTGAGAGATTTTGAGGTTCCAAGTGTTTGTGTGTGTGCTCCTTTGAAGAAGATGAAGATCCTTGGAGAAGCATCTAAGAGTCCAAGCCTTGTAGATCCAGATTCTTCATCTTGTTTCCCACCTCCAAGAGGTATAATGTTTCCATCTTGGCAATCTCTCATGATAGATCTAGTTATTGTGCAATTTATATGCTTTTTGTCCCATAACTTTGGTTCTAATGACTTGTTCTACTCCAAACCATTTGAAGACCATTTACTGATGTTTTGGGGTTGTAGAACCATAAAGTTGCAAGCTTGAACACTCTTTTTCACCCTATGCATGAGATCTTGAGCATTGGTACATTTCATGGAATTAGGGCTTGGTTTATTACTCATTTATAACATGCAAATGGATAAAGTCTGGGACTTTATCCATTAAGACGTCCTTGTAGTTCTTATTGGGAAGTTTGAGGAGTTAACTGTCTGAATTGAGAGCTTAATGGAGTATTTAGCATTTAGACCTAGTACGTGGGGCGTACATCTTGCTACGCAATTCGTAGCTTGATGTTGGCCCGTAATCTCGTAGCTTCTACGCCATGCGTACCGCAGTTGGTACGCGGGGCGTAGGAGGGTGGATCGTAGACTTTGACTAGTTGACTTTTGGTCAAAATTAGGTTTTGAGCATAGTTTGAAAAGGGTGTTTCTTTATTGCTGATTAGGTGCTTATTTTGTATCCGTCTACCCTGTGTGAGTTGTACTTAGCTGCTACTTGTGAGGTGAGTCTTCTCACTACATTTTCATGTGTGGTAATTTTGTTTGTGACCAACTGGGTCTTAATTGTTGATTATTTTTATGTATGCATTGAATTGTATTGCTGATAAATTGGGATTTTTGAGAATCCCTAGGGTTGCTGATAACCCCTAGAACATGTTGCTAGTCCACAGCGCGTGCAGTTAGCCCATTGGGATTGCTGATAATCTCCATGGTTGCTGATAACCTATAGTTATTTATTATGTTGTGTTGTATGGATATTTTGGGGAAGGGCTCACTAAGCTTTATGCTTACAGTTGTGGATTAATGTTTATAAGGTACTTCGGATGATCGCAGGAAGGCGAAGGCTTGACTATAAACTCTAGTTCGTAGTTTTTATGATTTTCACCTTTTGATACTCTGATTTGGATGACCGTATTGATGTACCTGGGATTTTTCATGACTTGGATTTTTATGACACTTGTGGTTTTGCTGAAATGAAAATGAAAATTTTTGTGGTAAAAATCAGTCTGTTACAATTACCTTAGAGTTTATTGCAAACGATCATTGTTAGCAGATTATATATATATATATATATATATATATATATATATATATATATATATATATATATTGCATTTATTGTTGTATTGTTTAGTATAGCACAATTCTGTTCAGCCCATTGTATCCCGACCTTCTCCTTTCTAACCTATATATTGTGATTAATAAATGGATGGCTTTCACGGGAAAATAATCAGATTTCATGGTATCAGAGCTTGTTTCTTTAAAACCATACATCTAGTCGACATCCTTCTTATCGTTGACCATCATCTTATCGTTCACTCTTCTATTCTTCTCTTTCTGTCACTCATCATCATCATGTCTGGACCAGAATCTCCCAAGTCAAAATCATCTTTAAATCATCTCTGACAATCCATCCTCCACTATTAATATCAAGCATGCGGTTCCGCTGGTTCTTGACTTGGACAAGATGAACTATGATATATGGAGGGAGCTGTTTGAACTCCATTGTATAGGATATGGAGTCGTTGATCACTTGCAACCTCCAAACGAAAAGCAACCATCTACTTCAAATCCTGATGAATGGGATAAGTTGCATTCCATTTTCAAATTGTGGTTGTATGGTACACTTTCTACTTCCATCTTTCAAATGATCTTCAAGAAGAAAGTTCCTGCATATGAAGTTTGGCAAAACATTAAGAAAGTTTGTTGTGATATCAAGGTTAACAAAGTTATCCAAATCGATAATGAACTGCATAACATATCTATGGGTAACTCTACGATTATTGAATATTGCAATCGTATCAAAAACCTTGCAGATTTATTAGATAACTTGGATGCCAAAGTTCCAAAGGCCAATCTTGTTAGCTACACCTTGAATGGGCTATCTTTGAAACTTCGATACATCGCCACCTCCATTCGTCCTAAAGATCCCTTGCCTTCTTTTTGGGATACTCGATCCATTCTTACTCAAGAAGAATTTCAGATCAAACTTAATGAACCTCTTCAGTCTGTCCAAAATCACTCAGATAACTCATCCTCTCCGACTGTCTTGGTCACTGATGGAACCCACAACATCAACAATAACATTCGAGGTGGCTACCGTGGTGGACGAGGGGGTCGAAAACAATGTGGAGGTCGAGGTGACGGTCATTTTGGTGGTAGGAATAATTATTCTGGTGGTCACAATGGTAATTTTTAGGCTGGTGGGGGAAATCACAACTTTAGTGACAGTAGTTGGTTGGTACTAGGTTCCACCTGGAGCTAGTCCATCACAACAACCAGACCTGTTGCCTACTCCTCCAAACGGGCCTCAACAACACCAATATCAAGCCCAACAACAATCAGACGAGCAATTTTTTTAGCAAAATTCTACTGGCCCAACTCCATCACAACAAGCATTTCATGATGCATAACCCACTTTCATGGCTCAATGGCCCAACAATGCATCACCCGAAGCCACCGTAATCCTATAAATGTTCAACTCTATGACTCTAAATGACCTGGTTCAAGCCGAATGGTACATAAATATTGGTGCTACTGGTCACTCTGATGCATATATTCTCAAGTATGTTTTAGATAATAATAGTAACTCTTTGTTAACGTATCCCTCCAGGAAATGTCAAAAGAGAAGTCAAACTGACATCGGGCTTGGTCTGGTTAGAACCCAATCTAAAGCCAAGTCCGGGCCTTCGCCAACACAAGAGGCGCTGATAAGGCGGTTAAGGTGCGGAGCCGCACCTTAACCCCTTCTCCGGGAAATCATACCCTGAGAAACGTGGGACCAATCAGAGAGTCTCACTCGCTCATCAGACGATATCCACAATCTTCGTAAACATTTGGAAGATCTCCTTCCAGCCAATGGGAGAAGGAGGCAAAAGACGTGACGGAGGACCCTCCGATATGGATCCGCCACGTCGCACCTCAGGAGAGAATCATCAACAAAATCAGTTGAGAGACACACCTCAGAGACATGTATAAAAGGACCCTTCTTCCTCACGAAGAAGGGGACGAATTCTCTCTTTTTTGTAATCACTTACCATCTCTCTCAATTCTCATACTAACTAGATCGTCGGAGCTTCGCCCCGGGATCCCCTCCCGGACGTCGACTAACGATCTATATCTTGTTTTGTACTGTGATATCAGGAGAAGTCGTTTCAGCAAGATTCACCGGCAATCTCGATCCATCCATTCTCTGACATATCACAACATTTGGCGCCATCTGGGCGTATCTCTAGCACGATACATCCATGCAACAATTTCAACGAGCAACAATGGCAGGCGAGATCCCAATAGTGTCTGGAGGACTAGAAAAAAGCCCGTTGCGTCCGATGCAGTCACTAGAAGGAGGGTAAGCTTCCGTTTAGGAAGGGAACGTATCAAATCGCAATCCGGTTTCACAAATGCCATCTAGTTCTGCAGTACAGACAACAACAACTCCCACGACCAGCCTCTGGCGCCCAACAGCGAAACAATTCCACAAGTGGCGATCGTAACCACAACTCCACAAATCGTCACAACGCATCAAACAGAGATCCTTGTTTCACAACAACAGCCGCTCCCACTTACCTTCGGCACCGAAACGTGGATCCCGCACACCATTCAACCACAACCATAATATTCCCCAAT